GATTTGTCGACGCAGCCCAGAAAGGGAAGCACAAGGAAGACGGCTGGCCGGAGACGGCATACGGAGTCTCCAAAATCGGCATGACGGTACAACTGGTTGCACCTGGAGGCCTTAAAATGTGTAAAAATGGAGGAAAAGTCCAATAAGACAGATTTTCATCGAGGACTACACTCTGAAAATTTAATAAACTGTGACTGAAATGCTTATATAAAGTCATATTTGTGCAGATAGTGATTATAAATGTGTGTTTCTTTGCAGACTTTGTCCATGATTCAGGCTCGTCGTCTGTCCAAGGAGCGACCGAATGACGGGGTAATGGAAACATACCAACTTTCAATCAAACCGACAACAAAACCATCATCTAGCTTCAACTTCATTCAGTTTACCAGCTTGTTTCAAGACAAAAAAACCCACAGAAATAATAGAAAATTGGACTTCAAGAATGCACCTAAAAGTTGGATTGAAACGACACTGATTCGGTTTTATATCGTTATAAACATTTAAAACTTACAGTAGCAACATCTGGCCGATAATTACCACTATTATTATTATGATTATTATTATTATTATTATTATACCAAATATGGGACGGTTTGCCAGAATTTCTTCGAGGCCGACCGAAAGTCCTTCTCCATGGCCTCCCCAAACTCCTCCACACCCAAGTTTTAGCTTCCATGACCGCTGCAGCTGCAGCCCTTTTGGCCAGCCGGTACCTGCCTGCTGCTTCAGGAGATCCCCGAGCCAGCCAGGCCCGAAAGGTCTCCTTCTTCAGCCTGACGGCTTCCCTCATTGCCGGTGTCCACCAGCGGGTTTTGGGGTTGCCGCCAAGACAGGCATCAGTGACCTTCTGGCCACAGCTCCTAACGGCCGCTTCTGCGATGGAGGCTTTGAACATGGACCACTCTGACTCCATGTCCTCAACCTCCCCCAGGATGCAGGAGAAACTCTTCCGGAGGTGGGAATTGAAAACCCCACGGACAGGGGCCTCTGCCAGACGTTCCCAGTTCACCGGCACTATGCATCCGACGCCTCAGAAAGAGGAGGCAGGGATTCTCCCAGGCTGTGACAGTCAGGGCGGAGAACTGCTGACCCAGACTGGGGATCTCATCGAGCAGTGGAAGGAGAACTTCGAGGAACTCCTGAACCTGGTAAACATGTTCTCTGCTGAGGGGGCAGAGCCTGAAGACTCAGGGGTTTCTGCGTCCATATCCATGGCAGAGGTCGTCGTGGTAGTAAAGAAGCTCCTCTGTGGCAAAGCGCCAGATGTGGACGAGACTCGCCCTGAGATGCTGAAAGCTCTGGACATTGTTGGACTGTCATGGCTGACACATCTCTTTAATGTCGCGTGGGAATCGGGTACGGTGCCTGTGGAGTGGCAGACCGGGGTGGTGGTTCCCATTTTCAAAAACAGGGACCGGAGAGTGTGTTCCAATTATCGGGGTATTACACTCAGCCTCCCCGGGAAAGTTTACTCTAGGGTGCTGGAAAGGAGGCTCCGACCAATTTGTAGAACTTTGGATTCAGGAGGAGCAATGTGGATTCTGTCCTGGTCGTGGAACAGTGGACCAGCTCTTTACCCTTGCGGAGCTCCTGAGGGGGGCATGGGAATTCGACCTGCCAGTCCGCATGTGTTTCGTGGATCTGGAGAAAGCCTATGACTGTGTTCTCCGAGGGACTCTGTGGAGGGTACTGAGGTAGTATGGGGGTACCAGGCTCACTGCTACGAGCAGCAGGGCGAGCTGTGTCCGCATTCTCGGCAATAAGTCAGACATGTTTCCAGTGGGTGTTGGACGCTGCCAAGGCTGCCCCTTGTCCCCGATCCTGTTTGTGGTTTTCATGGACAGGATCTGAAGGCGCAGTTAGGGTGAGGAGGGTGTCCGGTTTGGGGACCTCAGAATCACATCTCTGCTTTTTGCAGACGACATGGTACTGTTGGCTTCACGCACTGGAGCGGTTTGCAGCTGAATGCGAAGCAGCGGGGATGCGGATCAGTACCTCCAAGTCCAAGGTCATGGTTCTCTGTCGGTAACCGGTGGATTGCCACCTCCAGGTAGGGAGGATATGCTTACTCAAGCGAGGGAGTTTAAGTATCTCAGGATCTTGTTCACGAGTGATGGGAAAATGGAGCGTGAAATGGACAGGCGGCTCGGTGCGGCATCAGCAGTAATGGGGGCGCTGTACCGGACCGTCGTGGTGAAGAGAGAGCTGAGCCGCAAGGCGAAGCTCTCGATTTACCAGTCCATCTACGTCCCAACCCTCACCTATGGTCACGAGTTTTGGGTCGTGATCGAAAAAACAAGATCGCCGGATACAAGTGGCCAAAATGTGCTTCCTCTGCAGGGTGGCTGGGCTCAGTCACAGAGAGAGGGTGAAGAGCTCGGACATCCGGAGGGAGCTCGGAGTAGAGCCGCTGCTCCTTCGCGTCGAAAGGAGTCAATTGAGGTGGTATGGACATCTGATTCGGATGCCTCCAGAGAGGCTTTCTCTGGAGGTCTTCCGAACACGTGGGAGGAGACCCCGGGGCAGACCCAGAACCCCCTGGGGGGATTATATCTCTCGGCTGGCCTGGGAACGCCTCGGGATCCCCGAGGCAGAGCTGAAAAACGTCACCGAGGGGAGGGAAGTCTGGAATGACCTGCTCTGCCTACTGCCCCCGCGACCCGACCTTGGATAAGCGGAAGAAAATGGATGGCTGGATGGATATACCAGATATGAGTAATAATGAGTCAGAATTGCAGCAAAGCATTAATAGCGCAGATAGATATTTATTTGAACTGTGGCTGCACATTACTGGAAATAAAACTGACACTGCAATATGAAAAAACAAGATTTATATGCTTTTTTTATGCTACAATTTTGGTGGTTTTGAGTCATTTCCAACCTACATTTTCATCCTGTTTGTATTATTTCTACAGATCCTGCTGAACGCCTGCTGTCCAGGGTGGGTTCGCACCGACATGACGAGCGATAAAGCCCCAAAGTCGCCAGACGAGGGCGCCATCACGCCAGTGTATCTGGCCCTGCTGCCAGCTGGAGCCACGGAGCCTCATGGGACAATTGTTTCTGACAAACAGGTTATGCCGTGGTGAAGATAATAAAGAAAACTCAGTGTGCTAATGTCAGAGTTTCATCTTAAGCAGTTTTTTATCACAAGACATGTCAAAACTGTCATACAAAGCATTTTTAGCCCTAAAAAGTAACGCAATATTCCTGCAAAACTCACAATAACATCATTTTTAAAGAGTTTCTCTTCTGTTGTTTGGTTTTAGGACCAAGTTTAGGACTTGGTGATTGTAATAAAACCAACAAAACTTATTTAATTCAACTGATCTGCGACCAAGTGTGTAACTGTGCGTCTGTCTGCTGAGTTAAAAATATTACCAAAATGAAGAGCTGTTGCTCTTTTTTTAAAAAAAGGTCTATTATTAGTTCTGTTCCATGAAACAACTTTGCCTTAACAGAAATACTTGTTTGCTACAACAGAAAGATTTTTTCATCGAGATGTTACAACAATTTCATGTCCGAGCAATAAATGAGCTTTAAGATCAAAAGTACTTGTTGGTGAGAGTTAAACACACGACACTGCAATGTGACATGCTTTTGATAATACGCTGAATAAAACTATAAATGCAGACCTTTTTTCTGACTCTGATTTTCGTTGTTCTGGTGAGAGAAGTGGTTAAATGAAGCCAAATGTGCAACAAAAAGGTAAAAATAGTGGATAAAATACTACATTCTGCATTTATAAAGAGTATCTGGAGCACCAGCNAATGACCTTCCAATCCTTATGGTGAAGCACGGTGGCGGCAGCATCATGCTATGATTGGGAGCAGCTGAAACAGCTAAAGGTATCAGAACTGAGTCAAAGATGAATGCAAGAGAGATCCTTGAAGAAGAAGAAGAAGAGTTTACCTTTAAGTTAAACAATTACTTGAAGCAAAAAGCCGAGAAAACTCTGGAGTGGCTTCAGGACACTCGGGTGGTAAAACCAAAGTCCAGAAGGGAAACTACAGAACATCTGTGCAAAAACCAGAAGATAGCATTTCATAGATGCAGTAAACTGCCCAAGTCCAGGTGTACAAAGTTCATGGAGGCTCGAGAAGAAGAAGAACCAAGAAGACTCAAAGCTGCACCTGCTGCCAAACACACCAAGACTACAAATGAACTGATAGGAATGATTTTAATACAAAAAATGTGTTTTCACTGGTGTGTAGACTGATGAGCAAACATTTCATCCATTTAAAATTAAATCTACAACATGACAACATGCACTTTGTTAATCTACTGTATCTGATCACAGATTTCTTTCTTTTCTTGGTTTTTGTATGTTTTCCATCCTGAAGCAGAGGTTTGTTGAGCAGCTAACATTCTCCCTGTCTTCAGGCTTCAGGTCGTGTGGTGAATGTCTCCAGCTTCGGCGGCAATACTAGTTTGATCCAATGCACTCCAGATCTGCAGCAGCGGTTTCGCAGTGAGGACATAACGGAGGACGAGCTGGCCGGACTGATGCAGCGGTTCGTCTCTGCCGCCCAGAAAGGGAAGCACAAGGACGACGGCTGGCCGGAGACGGCATACGGAGTCTCCAAAATCGGCCTGACGGTACGACTGGTTGCACCTGGAGGCCTTAAAATGTGTAAAAATGGAGGAAAAGTCCAATAAGACAGATTTATATCGATGTCTACAGTCTGAAGATTTAATAAACTGTGACTGAAATGCTTCTCTAAAGCCATATTTGTGCAGATAGTGATTATAAATGTGTGTTTCTTTGCAGACTTTGTCCATGATTCAGGCTCGTCGTCTGTCCAAGGAGCGACCGAATGACGGGGTAA